CTGACCATTGCTTGGAATTTAAAAAGGCTTTCCTAACGAATTGAATGGTCCCATCCATATATCTAAGCCCATTGGGGAGGTGGGGCGTTTCGCAAGCTGGTTTTGGGCGCACAGAATAACTTTGTGCAGACCCCGTATTCGCCATGGCCAAACGTAATTTAACCTGCTTGCCTCATGTTACTTCTTCCACGCTTTTCCTCCTCCCTGTCTGGTAAGGTTCTTCCCAACCCTTTCCTTATCCACTCTATCCATCCTTACCCGACTAGATGTATACTGTCGTACCCTTATTATCCTTTCATATTCCCCACCCCCAGCTGCGTTTAAAGATCAACATTACCAGACTCCTCCTGTTACCCCCACGTCCTAACCGGCCGATGAAAATTTATCAAAAGCAAACGTCTGCTTGTCGTCTGTCGCGAACTGCAGAAATCACGCTTTATTATCAGTAGAAAGTGGTATAAAAAAGGACACGGGAGGTAGGGGGAAGGGGACATAGAGTAGTCAGTTATCCACTGTCAGTCCATCCTTCATGTCGCGCTAACAGTCCCCAGCTCGGGATCCTTACTAGCGAGGATCCGAGTCACAAAGGAGGCGAATTCGGGCTTTACGCCATCCAGATCTACAGGCGCCAGGAAAGCGGATTGAAGAAGGGCGGCAAAATCGGGGCGCTGACTCTCCTCCTTTACGAGGCAGAAGGCGAGGAAGTCCCTGATGAGACTGGAGTAACTGGCCCCCGCTCCGGCCTCCTCATCCCCACCCTGGGGCAGGGTTGGGATGTCACTCTGCAGAACTGTGTACATGTAGTCCATGCTGTCTACGAAATGAGCGTAGGGATGATCATTGGTGGCAATCTTGTAGACGCTCAGGCCCAGAGACCAGACATCCGACTGGATGCGAAAGCCCTGGCGGTTCAGGGAGGAGGGGTCGAGGCGTTCGGGTGCCTGGTACATGAAAGTCCCCACGTTGGTCATGGTCTTCATGTCAATCATTTCCTTGGACATACCGAAGTCACAAATCTAGGGCCAGAGGGAGAGACAGAGAGGATGAAGAGCCGGTGATAGGATTGACAGAGGAACGCCTTAATTTGAAGTTTAGGAGGTATGTTGATAAAAGCGTCTAGAGGGTTCTCTGAACACTCGTTATTCGACAGTGTACCATGCTTTCGCCACAGTGATGGTGGGGGTCTGGTATATGGATTATTTCCTAAACATCAGAGGCACATTCAAAGACATGCTCAATTCACATTTCTATTTCCACGCATCAACTGCACTGGGTCAGTAGTCTCTCACTGGTTTGGAAACCAAGTTTACCCCTTTCTCATGTGTGGTACGTATGTACGCGTATAACAAATGAGACTACCGAAAAAGAGAAAGAATATTGGAATGGCCGCTTCTAGCTTATTATACGTCGTCAGTTAGCCATCCTCAACCTCAGGCCAGCAGCACCCGAGATTCAGGCTCGAGGTCTTTGGTCAATAAGTCGAAGGCCTACCAATTGAGTCGGGGGGGTCCGTTCTCCTGTTGGCTGCGACCGGGAATACTAACTATGCTAGAAGAACGTTCACCGATCGGGTTACGGGACTTGCTCGTCCTGTTGGGTTTTGTAGATCGATCCAAAACCCCGCAGGTAGCCTTACGGCGACTAATTATATCTGAAGGAGGAGATTATCGGCAGAGATGACGAAGACTGAAATGGTCATTTATAGCTTCTTAGCCGCTGTCAGTCAGCCTTACGCACGCTCCCTTTGATTGGGTTCGTTTCCCCGTTGGTTGTGATTTAAACCATGCCATACCATCCTAGATGAAAGCTTAGACATGTGTTTCCTCGATGCTACTGTTGCTGCGGGTGCAACTGCGAGGGGTTTGGTGCCCCAGTGGGTCCCCGCTGTAGCATAGGAAATGCAGAAACAATATGCAAGACATTTTAAGAGGCAGGATTTGACTTTTTCTGGTCAAGTATGGAAATTCAGGGAACATTTGAGTTGGAGACTGTTAACTTCAGCGGGCTGGTCGCGCAATACCCACTCCGCATATAAGTTGTATTCCAAATAGTATAATTTTCGTATGGCAGGGGTTTTGCTGTACGCCGGACAAATTTACCAGCTAAAAACCAAGGCACGTGCTTCGCCGATATTTTTCGTCACTACAGGATGAAGGTGGTAGGAGTTCGGCTCCTCATTGAGCACCCCTGGTTTCCCTTTGCGGGTTTCTGTCATGTGAACTCCAGATAAATACCAAGCGAAAAATTTCAGAAATTACTAAGTTAAGTGCAGAATGGCAGTACCGACAAAGGCAAGTCTCCCTTGCCTTTAGGAGATTTAGGAGTAAGTGGTAACCTTGGCAACCTCAGTGACAGAAGACGTCAGGAACCCCAGGAAGGGAGGCCTGCCTGGCTGCCCGATACTTCCACATTTGGCAGATAGTGGAATTACCCCGAACTAATTTTAAGTAGCAATTCCAACGGCAGAAGCAGAATCTGGTCTTGTATACCTCTGGACTCGCGTGTGCATTACATGGACCCTCTTGGGCACAGTCCTCATTTCAGTCTCACGCCGTGTACGTGTACGTGAATGCCTGACGCTGACATCACACTCTACGGCCCGGTTGTGTTTGACGCCGACAACTCACTCACATGCTGAGCAACTTGGGGGGGGGGGGGCGGGAGAAGATACGCACGCGTAAGAACTCATCATTTCCAGGCTGATTTCCTCCGCATGATTAATACCGATGCAACCCCTCCCCTCCCCCCGTTGCATCCCGACAAATCAAAGTGGCTTCACCACCGCCTGCCCTGGAGCCAAAAATAATTTCAAATTCATCAGAAATGACCTTGGAATGTCTGCGGTGTGAACATCTAATCCTGAGTAATTTACCCGGTGTCCTAAAGGTCCTCCTTTAAGATCATCGGTGACAATGGAGTCAAACACATGAAAACGTTAATTTTAGACTTTTTTCGACCTAGGACGTGCGATAGGTGACTCAGGAGAGAACAGTGCGTCTGCGATTTGGGTCCCTCGTCAGCAGGCGGGTTTCGTCACCGATAGTTTTAGCTTCCCACACTAAGCGACGCCGCTCTCGCTAAATTAAGCCGTCGGCTGTCAGTTTCAGCCTGGCATATGCTACTGAGATTGCCAGTATTTGAGCCTAAATTAACGACATTTAACGGGCGCCCTAGAATAGAGCTCGAATACACAGCAGCCTAGCTCGCAGCTAGTACCAATACCCGACTAAGTACCAGTCGGTCTAGTCGCGGCATGAAAGCGGCAAAATATAGCTTTACCGCTAAGCATGCTTGACCAGTGAAGTCTCTGGATATGAGATGACTTGGGAAGAGCATTGGACCACAGTTTTTTAACGGCGTTTTACTGCGGTTCCGGACTTCCAGCTTCCAGGGATTCTAGCTACCCGACTCACTCAACTCTTCACTGTTTTAAAGAACATTGCGAACTTTTCTGCGTTTTCGCCTTCTGTTTTTTTTCGGAATTTTTGTTGGATAGAATGGCAGAATTAATAAGAGACAAGGGGGTGCGACACGTGGCGTCTCCAGTCTGTGACAAACGCAGCGTGGAGGCTTGGCTGCCACTAAAGATGACGATGATAATGATGGTGATGATGATGATGACGATTATGCACTAAGAGAGCAGCTAGAACAGGTGAACCAGATCTAGGTATGAGGGTGCAGCAACGTGAAACTTGAAGGCACCGCATTTGTTTGATCAAGCTAATTCCGGTGATGAGGCCGCACAGTAGCCATTAGGACCCTGGGGCAGAGCGAAATAGCGTGCACTAAGAGGCCGACCTAGCACATGTGGAAGGCGACGCAACAGATATAAGCTACTGGCGCCATTAAGTCTGTACCTTTCGACGGCTTCACTGAAACTTACAGTAAGTGACCGATCGAATGAAATGTTGGCTGAAATTCTGAAATGCGTTTTCGAGTAGGAAGGATTACTTGGGCGCGGTTGTAATACTGGTTATCATGCGGCATAATCCTATAATATATCGGACTCGCCAATATGTCAGCCGTTGAATGCATTGCTTTTCAATCTCCTGTAGAAACTGTACTCGGTAAAAATGACTGCTTAATTAGCAGGCATTTTCACACTTACTACTAGTAGTCTTGTAAAGTCAAACATAGTTTATAGAAACCACGAACAAAAACATGCTTTCTTTCAGTCATTTGCTAGAGAATCACGCCATCTTTATATTTTATACTTAGGGAGGGAGTATAAGTAGGTTTTAAAAAAGTTTCTTATTATGCGATTTTTAAGAATGAGCAGTGTCCATTCGTACAGCATCGTACCTATCCGTTTACCACTGCTCCTCATGAAATGCACAACATGGCCCGCATTCATTGCAAAATTTCATGAACTTCATATGGCATCTTATTAAAATCGTAAAAGAATATGTGATTTTCTTTACGCGGAAAGCATGCACTTTGTAGACTGAAATCACTAAGCGCTAATGCAACGACTGATCAGGCTCCGAATTATTCGGCATTAAGAAAACTTTGTTAAAACCTAATTATACTCCCTCCGTCAGTATGAAATAAAGATGGAGTGATTCTCTATCAAATGACTGAAAGAAAGAATATTTTTGTTAGTGGTTTCGATAAAATATATTTGAATTTGCAAGACTACCGAAAATCAATGGGGAAAATGCATGCTAATTAAGTAGTAATTTTCTACTGAGTACACTTTCTACAGGAAATTGAAAAGCAGTACATTCAAAGGCTGACATCCTGGCGAGTGCGAAATATTATAGGATTATGCCGCACGATAATTAGTATTACAACCGCGCCCAAGTAATCCCTCCTACTCGAAAACGCATTTCAGAATTTCAGTCAAAATTTCATGAGATTGGTCATGCCCTGTAGTTTTAAAAAGGCAGTTATCTAAACTTGGAGTAACAGGAATGCGAAGAAGAAGAAGAAGAGCAGTAAAAACTACTCTGGAATAAAATGTAAGCTGTGGATAAATAGCATTATTGGGCGACAATCAGGCCAGAAGTGCCATATCGTACTGCAGACAGCATTATTCGCGCGATGTGTCAGCACAGGTCACAAAAGTAGCCGTCTACGTCTTCCCAGCATCGAATCACCCTCCCAGTCCACAACTCCGACTCCATCCTGTTTTAGAGGGTTTTCGCCTGGCCGGAGAATGATAGGTAGTAGCAAAGCTACATTGCAACGGCAGCACTATGCCTCCTATGTGGAGAAAAGGCAAAAGTCTTGTTGCGCCAGCTACTTTCTGTGCGAAATATCTGTGTGTGTCCTTCGCGTTCGGCTGTCATCCATCTTCACCACGCGCTCGGTTACATACTTCTTCGAGTCTTTTAAATGTCATTTTCCACCAGAAAAACAGTTCAAAAGACAATTTGACGAGCGTACGTAAGCTTTCCACAAATTCTCATCAGGCCTATTGCTGTCAAAGTGATTAAAAGGAAAGTGCGGGCAAGCAGAAGTTATTCTATTCCCGATCGGTTCATTGCCAAGTACATGACCGAAAGACCACCAAAGTCCCCGATGATGACGGCATAAAAGAAGAAGCTTTTCATTAGGGTCCCGTTTCAAGGAGACTTACCAAGTGAACTTTTAAGAAGGCGCATAAGTGAAGCTGTATCACGCACCTTTCCAGCAGCTGACGCCCGGGTACTCTTCCCCACAAGCTCCATCCTAAACGGAGAGTGCAAGGAAAAATTGCCAGCCCAGACCACTTCTATGTGTATTTACTCCTTCACCTGCTCCTATGGGGCAGAATATACTGGTCACGCAAGCCGGCGTTTGTCCAAAAGAATAAGGGAAAACCTTCCAGCATGGTTAGAAAAGGGCCAAATAAAGGACATCAACAGCTCTATCCTCGCCCACATGGTAGACACAGATCACTGTATAGATGCCGGATAGGCATTCCGAGTGATTTAAAAGGTCTCGTCAAGCTATCTAAAATCACTTGGACAGCGTCTGTTGGCAACAGCAGAGACGGCTGCAATCAGGCTACACAAACCAGTTCTATGCGCACAAAAGAACTTCGTACAGACCCCACAGTTACCATGGTTCAAAGCCATCATGCCAGCCACCTAGGTATAATTACCCGTCCCAGTGCCACCATCCCCTTCCCCCCTGACACTGACGGTAATTTTGTTTTTCATCTCATCCTCGTAGACCCTCCGCCCCAAAATCCAGCAACAGAATAACTTCTACTTGCTAGCATTTTCCTTTTAATCATTTCGACAGCAATATATAAATGCATAGGCCTGATGAGATTTTATCGAGAGCTTAATTATGGTTGCCAAATTGTCTTTTGAATTCTTCAATGGGAATTCTCGCAACTCTAAAACAGAAAGACAGTCCTACTCCGGCGGAAATGTGCCTTTCTTGGAATATGTGGATACGGATTATCACATAGACTTGCGGACACAACTCGACCCCACAAAGGTAAACTGGAAATGGAAGAGGTTGATGACTATTCCCCTTGGGTTCACCGCGGCCGCCAGGAAATTACTTACAGAATGATCTCGATTCAGATCAAGTGAGATACCGCCTCCTTTCAGTGAGCCGCAGGTCGTCAGCCCCCCGGGGGAACAAGCAATGGCGTGTCCCAGTCATTTCTGTGGGAATACGGACCCCGAGTTACAGGTGGCCTTGTCCTTTATTCCAAGAGGGGGGTGGGGGTTGAGGGTAAGGAATGAAGGTCAGGGTTAAAGTTAGGTGACGGGAACAGGTACCCTTCCTGGAATTTTGCGCAAAACCACTCGTAGCTCGGGAACGTCAATAATGCCGCGTCCGACCCCGATAAATCGGTCAGAGACTTTGGGGCGAATCAAAGATATCTGCCTGGATACCTGGGACTGCGGGTTCACAGCGTCCAAAGCCTGGTGGGATTCGTCGGCAATTTCCTCAATTTCGAGACAAATGCCACCCCTTAAGACCGACACCTTAGTAATTTGGGACTTTTCTTGATGGCCAGAAAAGACGCAAAAATTCTCTGCTAGCAACTTTAATATCCTGTTGAAGTTGGCACCCACCGGCCTGACTGGAGTCTGTGAGCCGTGAACAGGCAACCACCTAGCTGGCGGTAAAGCGAGAACCAAACATTGAGGAAGCTGAGGAAGGAGGCTTTACAGTGCCAGCCTGTACGCAGTACGTCTCACACCAGTCTACTTCCGTCCGGTCACCGGTCTCTGTCCAGAGTATAACTGGCACAGATAAGCACGAAACAGCCACTGGTTTTCATTAACCTACGTCTTCTGGAGTCTAAAACTTAAAAGTTGTCCCAACTAGCAAAGGCAACATGGATTTAATGACAGTTCGCATTTGAGCCATTTCAAGTGAGTAAAAGCGTTGCACCTCTTGAGCCCACTTGAAGACCAACAGGGCCGCTGTCAAACGGACGGAGGGGGGGGGTGGTTGAAACAAATGATTAAGAAGGCAGACTGACCAAAAGACCGCAAACTGATGACTGCTCACCTTTACTTGCCCGCTGCGGTCAACCAGCATGTTTGACGGCTTTACATCCCGATGGTGGATATTGCACTCTCGATTCAGGAATTCTAGCCCAGTGACGATACACTTCGTGATGTAGGCGATGAACTTCTCCGGAACGATTTCGCCCAATACGTGTGTCTGAAAAGGGAAGGAATGGAAAATCACATGCTTCTTCTCTGCGCTCTCAGCAGACACAAAGGGCACTTCATGACGCATGCCATGACGGTGCCATTCTTAACCTTGCTTTGCATGCATGCCGCACTGTGGTAGCATGCGTCGGCAGAGAAGTATCAGAGCACCATGTAGAGGGCACTCCGATGCCCGGTTCATTTCTAAATTGAGCCATGCCCATTGGAAATGGTTACCTGTTCATAGGGCCAATTTACGAACCGGTTAATCTACACGCGTGAGGGCATTATGCATCCATTAGGTGTGCTCAGTAAAGGTCTATAGTTTGTCACTATCTAATTCGTCTGTAGTAGGCGGACGGCGGCGCCCTGTTGATATGCTTTGCAGTGACCTAACTGCGCGATGAAATAGGTGTTTTGGGATAAGTAATATGAGTAGCAATCGGCCCCACTGCCAACATGAATTTCGGGGTTGGCTTTGAAAAGTCCTGGTCCATAGATTTACCTCGAACCCTTTAGTTAATTTTCTACAAAATCAAGGAGCAAACACCGAGAGAGGAAGTTGCATCAAGAACTATAAAGAAAAACCTAGAATATTCGCTGAGGAACCAGGCTCCTTAAAGTTGCACTATGCAGCAAAAGAAAGCCGGCGGAATGCGCGCACGGATTTTTAGCCATCACCTGTCTTGAGGTGTGGTTGTCATTTTGATTCACATCAAGTGCAAATGCTACTGTCCGGTTGCAGAACGTGCCTCTTTCTCGTCTCTCCCCCTGAGAAGTTGACGGCAGCCTAGGGAAATCAGCGTCTGGGCCTCAGAGCCGACCCCGAGGGGCGCGTTTTTCTGAAAAAATATGAACTCTGCCTTAAAGGTGATAACTTTCCGGTGGTCTTTGGACAATGGCACGATGATTTTTATCAAATCACAAAAATTGGTTGTTTTCAGATCATACGTGGGTCCCCTAATTTGACCTTTTAAGATCTCACCCACCATGGCGACTGTCCATGTGGTAACTCCTTGGAAATCCTCTAAACACTGCTTTACGTGCGTCTTCCGAACTATTTCAAGTTTTACCACTTTTAAAATAATCAGTCCTATGCTTGAGCCCACGTTTAACACAGTTTGAAGAATACACACCGACTTTAAGCGCTTTTGGGGGTCATGACAGAGGGCTTGAAATTTAAAATGTGTCAGAAGCGTAAATGTATCAGTTCCAGAAGATGCAGAACCAGGATCTTTCAAAAATGATCAGGTGTTTGAAAACAACCAATTGAACGATTGGAGTGCCGCAGGTTGCAAAAGATCCAGACCGAGCGCTCAGAAGTAAACCAAATTAATTACATATTTGTAAAGGTTAATCTGGAACTTGTATCGTGGTACATGAAGCCGTCAGAGTCACGGTGTTATACGCCTTTCAGAGCGGTTTCAGGATCCCTTTAGAATCAGCTACACTTGAGAAGGTATGCATGTTTCTGTAAACGTTGATTTTCACAAAATTATAATATATACCCTCAAATAAGCCTGTATAAATATTGGATAAAAGCAGGGAAATCATTTAAGGACTATGACCCCCTACCGAAGTCGGCATTCGGAGATGAGTTAAGAAAAGCCACAAACCTGCACATGACAGTATTTTGGGCTGCAGGCTTAAGTAAACAGCAAGGGAAATGTATCAGCGTGATAACGTTCCATACAAAATTAAGAGGCAGCAGTTTTTTTATCTGGCCTAGCAAGAAACCGGTACTTACCTCATGAGTTATGGCGTCCACAGTACAGTCCATAATTTCCATAAGCAGTCGTACAGTTCCGTCTTGTAGGAGGCATCCATAAGACTTGAGGGCGTACGGAAAGTTGCCTACTTTGGCTCCAAAGATGCTCTCATTGAGAATGCGTCGCGGATCAATATCGGGCTGTGTTAGTTGTATTTCCTTCACCGCAACCTCGGGGCCCTCCTTGGAGACACGCGTTTTGTACACTGTGCCAAAGTACCCTCGACCTACGTGCAGACAAACCCAAAAGTACGGAGGAAAACGTTGGCATTCATATTGGATACACACTTTTGGGGTAAACGTCTTTAGGAAATATGAATTTTACGCAGATACATGAAGTTAGTCCAACAGATGGGTTTCTGTGATGATAAACGTTGATTTAAGGTCTGACAATGGACTTTAACGATCAGGTTTTCTCTCATCAATCCTTTTCAGACCTTGGACGGTCGATGTCAGTCCTACGTACAGTTAATTATTCTTCGATAGCCATTTGAGTCATTGTAAACATTGTTTTTCTCTTACGACGTGAGTGATGTAGGAATAATTTACAATTTCTAAATCTTTGGCATATTTTCAAAGAGCACTGAGGCCTATTAAATACCAAAATCCTCAGATTTGGCTCAAATTTAAAATATTTTGATAGTTATGTTGAGTTCGTCTAAATGTGCCAAATTTTGATATAAGCTCGCTTATCCTTTTAAGCGGGCTCAATATAGTTATATGTTTTAAAGGTTGGTCATGTGTTATTGTAATGTAAAGGAAAATATAGTATGTTAATTGGGATAAGTCAGAAGTTCCTTAAGACACCAAGTCAAATGAAGTAAACTGTCCAAACACGTTCTAGAAATACGGAACCTAACTAGTGAGAAAGAGGGTCCTGTTTGGGAAAACTATGTTAAAATGGTTGGTCAGGCTACATCCAGCCGAATTTAAGTAAAACCCTTTCTCCACGTCTTTTTTAATGAATGGATCAAAACTGTTTAGATTCTGAAACTACATTTGCTGTAAATATTTTCTGCTAAGTTAAATTAGTAGAATCGCAAGCTTGGAGGAATGTGCATATTTTTCGAATAACAGCGAGAAATTAAAGACATGTTTTCGAGTTTCTACCGTCGAAATATTAGAAAATTAAAAACTTCGAAGTTCTCGGCTATTTTAGGGCTAATGCCTAAGTTCTTAAAAGGTATGATTGCAATCAAGTAAAATATCGTCCCAGAAATCAGTATACGGATAGCCTCTAATAGCGAGTGCCCAAATGTTTAAACTATATCTAAAACAAACTATTTCCCTACTAGTCTACGGCTCGAAATATATTCCCTTTACGCTTGTGCTTCCAAACGTGTTTCTTTAAGCTACTAAAGTGAGGAAGATCCCTAAATTCGCTTTGAGTAAAACTTATTTCGCCAACCCACTCTGACCAAACAGAACTGTTATATGGAAACGCGTCAAAAGACAGAAAGTTATTTGTGACTTCCAATTAATCCAGGTGATTTTAGGAAAAAAGCATACGATCAGGGTAAGAAAGTCGTGTTTTTTTGTAGTTTCGAAATCAGTTAATTCTTTTACAAGTCCAGTCCGCCTGCATTACTTTTCACTCCACCCATACTCAGTGACGGTTCAGCTAAGTCGAGCTCGTAAGTAAATGATAGTATATATTTAAGACCAGAGCAACTAAAGTTTCCAGCGTTTACCCTCTCAAACAGCACTAAGAACGCATATAAAATGAAGGAGGCCGATGAAAAGATGGTGTATAAGTGACATTTACTTTGAATCAGCAGACGCCTTTCAGTCACTTACCCACTTTATTGCCTCTGAATTTATAAAAATTGTATATTCGGTAGTACCTAAATTGGCTAAACCGTGTGCATACTTATTTAATTTCCTCAAATTACTTAGTACTTGTAGAGCAAAGGCTTTGACTATCATAAAAATAGGCATCACAGTTGTACCCTTTCTGCGCGAATCTGCGTCCCAAAGTAGTTGGTATTAGAGCAATTAAGAAGTTGTTTTCACATAAAAACGCTTCCGAGTAATTTACCTAATTCACAGATCGGCTCCAAGTCACTAAACTTCACATGGATTTTTCGCCCGTCGAAATCCATATCTGTCTCGTTCGACATGACCTCGCTGAGTGCATCATCGGCGTGTATCTGTACCCCAGGAACACCCTTTTGGAGCTTGAGAGGAGGCAGAGGTCTTGGCATCTTCAAATCTTTTTCCAAATTGAAAAGACAAGTCGGTAAACAAGAGATCGATACTAAAAGCAAACGTGGAACATTAGAAAACAGTTCGACATTCCATAGAAACTGTGAAATTCATTACTTGCGCTTGGTATCTTTCAAAACATGATAGGCGTTTTTGACTTAATGTCCGTCATCATCGACTGGATCTGTATTCGAGGCAATAGTAATTTCAGTAATTTCTCCCTAAATCTCGTGTCGTTTGCTCGTCACTGTGCCAAATCATGCCGGATTAGTTAAATAGCACGAAAAAGAGTCTATATATCTCTGATGGCTTGTAAATAAACCCAGTCTGTTTTTTGGCCTAAAAAATGACAAAACGACAGCTGTTTTGGATTGTAAGATGATAAATAAATGTATACATTTATTGGGTGTATCCAATCCGTTTTCATACGTAATTCAGATTTTCAGGCTCAGTAAGTTCGAAGACGGACAACTTAGAATATAAAATATATAAGCCGGGAATAAGCGAATATCCAATATAGCTATTATACATAAGGTTGAACAATGAGAACTCTCCGCAACAATTCTATTTCATATAATTCTCGTCGAAAGTGGAATGATGTGAAGTCCTGTAACATTTAGAAGAGAGAAGTAATAGTTCAAAGCAAACGGTTTAGGATGCGTTCTACAGCGGTTAGATTACGTTTTATGGAAATGTTGAAGGCATTCAAGAAAAATTAACAAGACCCTTTATACGTTCTTATGTAACATGTGTGACGGCTACTTACATCGCCGGGAAATCCAGTGACAAAGTTCTGTCCAGGGAGTTACGAATAAAAGCTTGAAGACTGACGGGCTAATGTAACATGCTGCTTAAAAAGATGCCCCCGCGCAAGTAGCCAATCCCCTCGAAAACGGATTTCAAGGTCGGTAATCATGTCTCATAGAATCGCGCAGATATTAGACGATTCAAACTAAGTACACGCTGGATCCAACAATTCTTGTCTAAGGACGAGTCGGCTAGTCACTAGAAAACGCAATAAGGTTGCATATCCTGTTGTCTCAATATCATAATTTGCACTGGGGCTCTCAGAATACACATAGGGAGAAATTATTATGGTGTCAGCTGACCGTCACGCAACAACTCTGACAAAGTTTCTGCGGGTCCAAGTGCAGTCAAGCTCAACGATAAAGAAGAATTCTGGAAGTGGGACGCCGATCGTCCGTGTGAGCTAGGAAATAAAACCCGATATAACGCTTAAATATGATGGAATACGAAAGCGGCTATGAATGAAAACAAGACTGAAATGTATGGAAAACCCCCATAAAACAATCAAAAGTAGAGATTTTCAGTCCGTGTTTATCCATAAAACAAGTTTAGAAACAGTGATCTAATGCAAGAGAACTCCGGAGGACAAGAAATGTGCACTACTGACGTCTGGGGTATGTTTGGCACTACCTAGATAGATCTCCGCATCTTGGTGGACAACTTTTTCGTAGCTATTCAAAGATTGTAAACGCCGATGTCCGTCATTACGCAGTTGTAGTGTGCGTCTGAACGCGTTTATGATGAAGAAGACCTTTGCCGCATGTACTTCGCCCACTCCTATGGCCTAAGCAAATTTCAACGCCAAAGAAGCGTTAAACTAGTCGTGTTCCGATCCATTTGCTTGCCCACAGCACTCCGACTGCAAACAAGGTCAACGTGGTCAAAAGTGGGCTCGAGTCCAGTGGCCCGACTACGTCTTCCACGTTTATAAGGCCATAATAAGATCGGCTGGATTTTCACATAGGTGTTAATGTGATATATGCCATCTTAAGACGGACAAATCGTTCTGCATTTTACTCCTGCGGTCAGACGGGGTTAATTCCTTTGTTAACATCTTTTTAATTTACGATTGATGACGCATTGTGATGTACTTAAACACGCGAGATTTTTCATGGCGAGAAATCTGCTGATGCACCATGAGAAGGAATTCATCAGCGTTGGACTCTCCCTCTCTCTTCTCATCCATGGACTGGTCTGATATTCGGGCTTCACGTATTCGGAAAACGACGAAGATAAGGCTGATGTTTACATGGTTCTCTCGCAGTCAAAATTAACTTTCTGGAAGGAGGCTTCCTCAAGGTGCGGTTTCAGTCTTACTGGCATGGAGTCGGGCAAATATTTTTACTGTGTTTCCGATGAAAGTGGCGCTTGTTCGGTAGCTACAGAGATTTCACTTGAACTTGCGCATATAAATAAATAGTGATGACACCCCTAAAGTGCTGGAGATTTGGCTTTTGCCTCCACACTCCCTGTAACAGTGATACGTTTGTCCATGGACTTAGTGCAGCTATCCTTGGAAAGTTCAGCTAGAGTGAGTCAGCGGCTAGTGTTTTTTTGGTTTAAAAATATTGTGAGCTGTTTTGTTCGTCCTTTGCAGCGCGAGTTAACGACAGGAACTTACGTTAGTTTATGCGTGAGGGAGTAAGTTGATGCTTTCTTTAGATTTCACGGCTGGCCGGTGAGGACGCCTTTAAAGAATCCGACCCACTGCTACAGAATTTGAAATTTGGACAAGGAGTCGAAGACCAGCCAGGTAGATGCAAAAAGTTTGTCATACCACTTTTCTCGCGTGTTTTTGGGCATTATTATTCAGGCATTTTTCGTTAAACTCAGTTTCTCTAATATTAGGACTCAGCATTTAAATTTGCCCCTATATCAACGGCCATCCTCTGTTAGACATAAATAATTTACGGTAAGTTTATACTTCTTGCATTAGAACTTTCCGTAAGGCTTATATTTATTCCCCTTCGGGAGGCATCTGGCTTTTAAAATCCAGTTGATCCACGGATGCATTCATTGTCACAGTGCTGGCTTGCTTGATGTTCACATGCCTCACAAAGGACTGCGGAGTTACAGTTGCGGCTTCATGTTGAGGACGGCAGTGCAGTGTTACGTCGAAAAGTCAGAATTGCGCATCGCTTTGAGCGCCGTACGTTGCGCTAGCCAAGCCCCAGACGGGCACCCAGTTCATCATCTGAAAACAGTGCGGACGAGTATTCGTCGAAATCACTTTCTTCGTATTAGGAGTTGAAATACAGTTTCGGTCGAGAAAGACTGTTTCATTCGCAGCAGGGCGGAAATATGATCATACGACTGTCCATCGCGTTGCGAACAAGCAGTTCTTCCCTGATAACCTGGCCTGTATACACGTGGTCACCGAATTCACCAAAATCAATCCGTTTGTCTGACTCTACACAGTTCCTGTAAGGGAATGTAGGTACTTGTAGAATCTGTTCTCCACTCAGTCCGGTCTGAACACTGCGGGGACGGAGGTGTTGACGACAGTGGTAAACGATCTTCGCGACTATACAGATGCAGAAACACGAGGCGACCACTTATTTAATGGGAGAGCCATTAATGTTGCAGAACGATATCGTTTGTGTTGGCAAGTGGCGAATAAGTACCCCATTTACATTGGTGGAACTAGAACAAGTACAAACAATTATCGGCCGGTGAGCCTAACGTACATTTGTCGCAAAGTCATGGAGAGAATAGTCAAAAAACCCATAATGAAATTCCTTGAAGAAAACATAATCATTGCTAGTTCCCAACATGGGTTTCAACGAAATCACTCCTGCCTTACTAAAATGCTCTATTCAGAGGAACAGTAGTCTCGCTCGTTAGACGAAGGAACAAGGGTCGATATCGTTTACATCGATTTCAAGAAAGCCTTTGATAATGTTCCACACCAACGGTTACTTTACAAGGTCCGAGAGTCAGGGATAAGGGAAACCTATTAAACTGCGTAAAGGACTTTCTGACTGGTCGATCACAATATATGTGTGTTGGTATTGCGAAGTCAACGCAAGTGCCAGTTGTGAGTGGATTTCCCCAGGGCTCTGTACTCGGACCAGTACTATTTTTAATTTATGTCAACGACTGTATGAATGGACTGGACTGCAATGGAGTCATGTTTGCCGATGACATCAAGTTATGGCGAGCGATCAATGGCGAACATGATGAACGGGCCCTGCAAGAAGGACTGAACCGCCTATGCGAATGGTCTGACAAATGGCTGCTTAAGTTTAACCTCGAGAAGTGCGTCGCGCTGCGACTCAAATCGACTGGGGAAGCCAACGGAGAGGATCATCATTAACTGCTTGGTGGAAGGTGGATTTTACGTGTCACCGAACAAAAAGATCGTAGGATCAACATTTTGTCTTCTCTTAAGCCTCCCTCTTAGTGCGTTAGGGCGGCAAAAAGGGCAGCCAGTGTTCTCTTTGCCATTACACTAACTTTCATAGACATAGACAAAGAGGTATTTGAAAAAGTATACGGAGCGTTCATTCGTTCGCATCTGGAATATGGAATCCAAGCGCGGCGCCAGTGGCTAAAAAGGTCTATAAGTTGCTAGAAAGAAGTCAGAGGAGAGCGACAAAAATTGTGAAAGGCTTCAAGACTTTACCTTACAACTGCCGACTTAATGAACCTAACCACTTTCCTCTTGAGTACAGGCAGATTCGAGAAGATCTCATACAGGCGTATCGGATTTTGAGGAACCGGGACTGTGCCCTAAACCTTGACAATTTCTTCACCCTGGCCACAACAACATACCTGCATGGGAACTCTATAAAACTTAGAGGATGCCGATGTCGTCTGGACGTTCGCAGGTACTGTATTCACAGCGAGACGTCGGTGCCTGGAACCGGCTTCCCGAGGACTTAATAATGGCGGATACCACGGACAAATTGAAGCGGGGGCTGGATGAATATTTGCTTGGACAATACTGCGTTTCTGGACAGAACATCTCGGTGGTGCCAAACCAGCGCCTTGCATGCACCTACCGCTAATGCGGATGACTGTCATTTCATTTTACCAATATCATCCACAAATGAATGTTCTTGATTTACGGTCCAGCATTTTGAACGAAAAATATTCTGTTAAGAACACATATTACTGACAAAATTTTAGTACCGTGTTTATTTTAAGTTAGATATTGCATGCACAGTTTACAATAGTGTTTTCAAAAGTATTGCCTACTACACTAAAAAATATACAGAGATACTGACCTAAAGGGCACCCTTGCGTCTGATCGTCCCGACATGGGGCGTCCGTTGCAGATGAAGATGTCCCCCAAATCAACTTCATGTGGTTGTTTTCGTTCGATAAAAGAATTTCCACATTGTGGTAATCCAAAGTACTGCTCGTGTCGCGCACGCGTCCGACGCTTACAATGCAGGAGCTTTCCTGAGAGGAAAGTTGTGGAGCGTTTCGGGCCCAAAGTGAATGGGAGTGCCAAAGAGGCCGCTTTAAGAAGTAACCGTTGTTGTTCGACTCTCCATCCCAAAAAGGAGGACCGAGTCAGCGTGTCGTCCGATTCATGGCTTTTGAATTACTGTGACACCCTTAAAACGTGTCAGATTTACAATGGGTAATGTGCCCTGAGTGCCGTAGGGATAGTCTTAGGATTGACATTATTCTCTCCTCACTCTCACAGGATTCAACACACTGTTCGAGCTGGCCAGTACTGTAATACGTGGGAATGGGTGGCAATCAGGGCTGAAGAATGCCAGGCGTTTTGTGTGTTACATTAACTGAATGAAGGATCACTTAGATACATGGTATGAAACCCTCAGGAAATCTTCAACAATAACTAGCTGAAGTCCCATCTGTCATGTTGGTGCGCATATTCACTGACTGAACGCTTTCGGTGGATGCCCTAGAGGTAAAAAGTTAAAAACAACCCCATATCTCATGTTGTCTGTTGCATTTACCGTCGTCATAATGAACAGATTTTGTCAAAAAGTACGCAGTTAATTAAATATACTATAGCTGCTATGTTTTTGTATTCTCGGAATAAAAAATGAACGCGCGTGTCACTTTTTTTAAAAAACTGGATTCCGCCTTCGCAAGGCGTCCGAAAGTTAACGGGACATGAACGGTAAACGGGCTAGTAAATTTTCGAATTTCATAAAATTAATCGGCAATCTGAATTCATAGTTCTCAGCTCACTATCACCGTAATGCAGAAGAGCAAGTAGATTATTGCTCGGTTCCCATTCACATCCCTGCAGCTATAAGCAGCCTTGACTCTACCGCGCAGTATGAGCCTCGTCCTATATTTGCTTATTTTTTAATGAGATTTATTTCCAGTTTAGTTGGTAGGCATAATAGACAAGACATTTGAAAAGCCTATTGAGTATATGCCAGTCCGTTAGACACAAATGCACACGAACAGTAACTGCTGTCTCTATAAAGATAGGGCTTGCATGACTTAGGTAGCATTGTTAAGACGAATTTCCTGTCTTCACACTGTTCTTCGTTTTATAGTGTCAGTCAAGTACGGGTGTAAAATGGAGCAAAAAAGCTGTCGGAAGAGAAGGAACAAAGAAGAATAAAACGAAATGTGAACGCTGTATTCAAAGCTCTGCGCACCGTTTTCGCCGTTTCCTGTGCATTTTGAAAATTTGATTTCTATTAGATATTGTTGTGCTAATATGGAGGACTATCTCAAGAACTCCAGTGACCAGCTTTTGTACCTTTTCAGAGCATATTGTGATAGAGGAGCAAAATATATTGAAGAGCACGCGATTACCCCACGTATTCCGGTTGTTTGTGTTATCACTGGCATGTTTTAATAGCCCCATAGCATTATGTGGGGATCTTACGACCTCGTCTCGGATATTGTGTTAACCAATCCAAGATCCCAAAAACATCCCGAAGCCTTCAGGCAAGTTTGAATCTTGACAATTTGAACAAAATAAGGTTCGTGTTCAGCTATACTTCGAATGAAAAGTTAGCCCATCCTTGTACACCCGATGTCTCTCAAGGCCTTTTTCCAGAAAAAGTTACTGGACAAAAAATTTAGTAAACTTGGTCCGGGGCATACACTTACCGAATCTGACAAACCGAAGCCATTGAAGAACAGACCTAGTGACCGCTCGCCCGAACCTGCATGCTCAGGTCCATCAGAAGAGGCCTCTAAAGCTGCTGAAGCAGCTCTGACTCGGATCGCTGTTAAGAAAGCACCTGCAAGTATAATTTACCTCCGTAATCTATCTGGTTAGGACGTGCAAGATCTCCTTTAGATGCAGAAAAAATAGCTTTCAATACGCAGTTGAAAGAAGCAGAGGAACTGGCCGCTCGGTTTTCGTCCTCGCAGACTATACAAGAAAAAAGCGAGATCTTGAAGCGTGCGAAGTTTTTCGAGCCATTTTATTTTACACTGAACTTTGCACAGTCTGTTAAACCATCATTTTCTTTTTCTAGAATTTTATTATTGGCAACTATTGCTAAAATTGCTCTACAACAGCAGCAGTTGATAGAGGGCAGATATCTATGACTATCCCTGATGATGGGTTCGAAGTAGAATCCGATGAATCAGGCAAATGGACTTCTTGTTCCGCTGGTCACATGCCCTGTGTCTGGAGAGCGGTATGCCAGCAACGACGCCACGGTGCTATTGAAGTCTAAAATATTCCCTTCCCGCGCTCTCATTGGTGTATAGACGATATCTAAATCCAAGCGGACTTGTATTTATCGGCTCTTGAAGAGGCCAGTGTTGCCCCGTTCTGGTATCTATTCAAAGGCGTGTGAACATGTACAGGGAAGCTACTTATTATCTTGTAATTTTCCTCCGATTCATCAGATGACCTGCCGACGGGAATTCGATCACATTTTCAAAGGCTTCTTTTTATAGCCAAGAGAGCCTTCAGAAGGAAAGGACCGGTGGGAGTGCATAGTGATGGCGGCAAAGCTGCACTGGCTTGAGGTTGTGACATATTACTTTGTTTCTTTACTCACATAAGCCATGTGATCTTGCTGTCTGCAGCTGCTTTAGTCTTCCAACGGTGTTTCTGACGCGCGCCACCGGCAAAGTATGTCAGTTTCCCTCCTCTGTACACGCCTTTTGTATTTTGGAACGACATAAACGACTCACGGTCAGTAAAGATTTCAAATGCCTCAGAAACCGGGACAATTTGTCAGCAACACTATTCAAAGTCACAGGATAATGCCAGCTCAGTGGTTGATAAGGGTCCAGGTCAGTAGCCGACCACAATCGAGAACCGAATTTGGGTCGACCTACATTGCAGATAGAATTTTAACAAGGCGCATCGTCACATCATCGATTGGCTGACCGCTCGAGTGCTACCGCGGTTGCTCTGGATGAGGCCATGAGCGTTATAGTTGATTTGGTGTTTTGATCTGTCGCGCATCTTAGTTTAATTTGACTGTGGTCGCAAATACGCAACCTTGCGAGTTCCGGGAACCAATCTCCTCACTCTTTTTTATGGTCTCTTGTAGGTGTTCTCTTCTGCCATCCTGACATCCTTGGCAATGAGTTCACTGGTTCCTATTCTGAGGTGGACTCTGCCATCGAACAACATCTCCTTAGTGAGGTCACAAATAACCCCTCCGAGGCCACTACTCTCCTCCTCATACGTGGAATCGAATGCAGTCGACCACCCGCCAATACTGAAGCTGCTGTCGAGGAAACAGAAATCGACGTCCGTGCAAAGCGACGTCAGAACTTCGTGAAGATCTTGACGAACATAATCAGCCACCCAGAAAACGACATGTATCGAAGGCTCCGTGTTTCGAACAAATTTATAGCCGACCTTTTGGCAGTGAAGTATGCGGAGGATTTTTTCAAGGTACACGGGTGATTTAAATGGTCTGGTTTAATGTATGTGTATGCATATCTTTGCTTAATTTGCAATCAAAATGCGATCTTTCCGCCTCCGTTGACTGCCCTTTTAAGCATCCTCGCTATCCAAATTTTAACGGCAACAATTCATGCTACAGTTTTTGATGGCAATTTCCTGTTTCTTTGCATTTTTTCTGACAGTAATCATGTCAACCTCCCAAAGTGTGTGAATCATTACTCCCAAAAAAATCAATGGGTTTGCCCGGATACCTGACGTCAGTTCGTCACATAAATTTTATTTGCTGCCCATGACGGGATTCTTAGCCCGAGGCCTTGTACCTCGCGGTCGCATGTAGAATATTCCAGGAAGAGATATTCTGCATGGAGAAATACGAAAGTAGTGCGAGAGGGGACTTAAGATGCTAGAAATAACCCAAAAGCTACCGATCGTAAAAATGCCTGGTCAACCGGGTCTGAATACTATCAAGGAAGAACGTCTACCGAACTTCACTCACTATCTTTTACAACTACAAAGGCTGAATACTGCTTTAAGAACCTATTGCTGTCTTGGAGGACTGTGTCGAGACGAGTTTTTAACCTACTCTTCGTTGCCGCCAGTTGGATTTTGGACCGCAGCGATGTTGTTTTAGCCAGTGGACGGCTGCATTCGAAGTCGTCGGTGCACTTCACTCAGGCATCGCTAATCTGCATTCCTATTTCATACACACAACAGTAGCAACTAAGACGGACTGACCGACCGATGCTTGGTGCACGCGGGTTTGGTCGATGATTGAGGTGATATTAAATCCCACGTATACCCTCCATGGCTCGTAAAAACACTGTCAGCGTCTTCCATTTGAACGAATACGTCCTCTGTGCTCTACCTGTTTTAGAATACCTGTCACGAGATAAATAGACCTGTACGCTTCCTCAGCTGCGTCTTTTACTGCCAAGAGATACGAATTTTTAATGCGGTATCCCCCTCAGCTTTGTGAGAACACTTTTTATTTCCCTAACTCCCTCTGTAGGATGTTTTGTGAAATAGTTTTGGCGCCAACAGGGTGAGGTCGAGATCCCTCAGCCGACGATCGGATATTAGTCCAGCGTCGTCATAACTGCCTTAAGTATGTTGGGGAATCAAGCTAATGGCGTAATTAATCAGGGGGGGGGGGAGAACGTAATCGTGTCGAACGCTAATTGTTGGCATCGCGAGGGAATCTGAGAATCTCCAAGTCGGGATATCGGGTCTGTCATCCACCGGCAGGGAATTCAGCCTTGTTGAATTTCTTTCTCTTACCACAAAAACGTCGAAACAGCCTGATAATGGCCGTGACATTTCGTGGAGCCGGTGGGAGTCATTCTCGTTGCTAAATCTAGCTGAATATTTCCAATTGGGAGACTGTAAGGCTCCTAAATTGAACCAGTCATTGCGTCATCACAGGGTAGATCCGCGAATTCTCGTTTTTTTTTTCTCGTGAACCAATAACAGCAAATTGTTATTGTTGCTTACTGCCATCCTCGACCCAATCTGCAGGATGCTCCACTCCTAGCATGTGTTTTCAATTTGCGACGGAATTTGAACGGGTGCCTGCCATGCTCTTATCTGAGCTCAGATTCGAATTTTGCACTAATAACCCCTCCGCGGTTTCATCTTCACTTATGGATAAACCACCCAGTGTGGCGACCTTATTCACATGAAAGTATTCCACAGATCAGCGTTGCTGAACGCTATCAAGGTGACACCGCAAGCCTCTTCGAGGTCAACCAGCCTGTGCCCTGGTGTAAGTCCGACATCCTTAAAACCCCACAGAGAACCTGGGCAAGAATGCAATTAAGTAGGGTTAAGCACAGAATGGCACCCTGCCGTGCACCAGACCGAATGACAGGTAGTTGGGAGGGGTTGTTATAAGAAAATAAACGCTCGACAATTGATCGATATTAGGTGCTTTATTACAGCTGCAAGGTCTTTCGGCCGGTTGAAACAAGTCACACCTTTTTTACCTCTGTACCGAGATGAGTCTACCGTTGGCAGTGAAACCTGAAAGCTACTATGCGCATTCAGTAACCACATGACAGTTTTCGGAAAAGCGTGCCGTTTTTTTCATGCTTGACCTGGCCGCAAGGGACTCACATAACAATCTTCTATCTTCTCAGGTTTGCGGCTTTGTTAGAACCAGTTTACCGGTATCTCAGAACCCACCGCCGCCGAATTCAGAGCAGGATGAGGAGAGCGGTCCCGCAGCACCAGTAACTGAGGACTTCCTGATCCTTTCTGCGTCTTCAACAGAGGAACTCGCTCACCTTAAATCAATGCTGGAGCTTCTGGAGACGGCGCAGCCAGTTGTCCCCCTTGTATTTCGCGATACAACTGTTTTGCGGGTAGGACTGCTCAGTCGACTGTTTTTGCATTTTATATGGATTGACTTTGCAGATATCGCGACATCGGCAGTCGCCGCTGCGTCAGCGTAGACTCGACTGCTTTCAGACCATCTGACGCTGGCCTTCTCCGTCATTTCTCAACTATCAACGTCCTGCAGCACTTGTGCAAGCATATTTAATGAGGGGAAGGCAAGTTTCGGGAGGTAGTTAGGAAGAAGAAGATGCTGTCAGTGGAACGTTTCAGATGCTCACTCGAACCCATGCTCAGAGACAGCTACAGATAAGGGCGACGGGCTCACAAGAGGTGCAGTATTTACGGGATGCAGTTGCCATGCAACCGCATCCCACCTTAATTATTACATTCTGCACCCATCACCAATAATTGTATTGGTGTGATCATTGCTTGCTCGCCTACGACGGTTCGACTGTCGATTCCGACGACATTCACCGTGTGCCCCACAGCAGGGCGTGCACAGGGACGGCGACTCGTGCACAAACTAGTTTATAATGGTAGTATACACCGCAATCTCTCTCTCTCTCTCTCTACCCACCTGAGCCCGCAGTTAGGACAAAGAAGACCGGGGCGGAATGGGACGGGGGTGGCTGACGCGACGCGGGCCTGCATCTAGGCCGCAACACCCCCAAATGTGTGGGAGTTGTTGTGTGTGAGCATTCCCAAGACCACTTGCTGTGCCCTGATCTGGCCCCCACGTTTTAGGTCAGAGCAGCTTGTGTGACCCATTGTAAAGGGCAAGCCTGCCCACAGAACTCATCTCATTGTCTGTCGGCTCCTCAAGCTAGGGAATACAGAACCTGTCATTGGAGATCCGTCATTTACACTCGTCATATGTACGTTCACTCACTACCCTTCTTCCCTCTGCATACTTACACAATCACCGCAAGCTGACTACTTAACTTCGGATAGCGTATAATCGTGCATATACGATACCAGGTGGACACCTGTCATTCAAACTGTCTTTTACTTTATTCCACAGTTAGGGTGTATAACGCCGTGCACAAATCGACTTTGATCGCGCAGAACGGAGCATTGTATCATTACGAATTGCTTCCTTTGCATTTTATCCTGCAAGAAAGGATGTCATTCGCTTCTGAAAAACCTTCTATTACCGATTGATTTTGGACCCGACCTATCGTTACACTTGCATTCAGCGTTCGCAAAATGCAAGCTGTATATATTTCCGTGCAGAAAAGTCATACATTTCTATGCGCTATTTGGAGGACGTCATGTAGGGCTCATAAAATTTTGCAATGGAGGTTGCCCATTTTGTGTACTTTGTAACCAGCGTTGATAAATGGAGAGATACGATGATTTATGAGTGGATCCTTCACGGCCTTAGAAAGTCCCATAACCAGAAAATTTTAAAGACGAAAAATACCCTTTTCTTAAGTGCAAAATATGAAGACTTCATAATTTTCTACCAAATGAGTTGAAGAAAGCATACTTTTGAGCATATTTTCTATAAAATATAAGGGATATCAGAAATAAATTGGAAAAACTCATGCTGTTTAAGTAGTTGCTTTTTACAGTGTAGTTCTTACAGGCGGCCAGGAAGAAGGCCGTTCAGAAGCCGGAATCCTGACATGACTGAAATATCTAGCCAACGTTACAACCCAATTTCAGTACTTTTGAATAAAATGCTCTTAAGAAATTTAATTAACGCACCATAAGCAATACATCTATTGTACGTCTGGATCTTCGGTGGTTTGGTGTTCGTTCTACTGTTTCCAAACCTATTATCCTCTGCCTTCTGTTTGTATTTCATATATGCCAGTGTTGTCGGACAAAACTAAATAAAAAAATACAGACGCAGCCGCCCGAGGTTTGCGCCATCCAAGGTTGGTGGGAAGTGGGGAAGAGAGTGCGGTAGACGCTGCGCAAGGTCTACTATCACTTTAAACTAGTTCTCGCGCAAGTCACCGTGCCTGCTGCATCTTGCTGTGTAGCACACGGTGGATATCGTCGGAATCGACGGTCGAACTGTCGGGCGGGCGTAACTTCCTGCGGCTCGAAGACTCTGAACGCCACCTTAGTTTTTCTTGTCCTCAGTTTCAGGCCGGATGTGTGGAATGCAGGAATTACTTGGCGCAGCTCAAATTATGTTTCCCCACAGGAGTTACCAAGCAAGGCTTTTCTGCCGGCTTCATTATGCTTCTAAACGCGAAGGTCCTGCCCCGTCTGGATGCTCCTGTTGTGCGGTGGAGGGGCTGTCGACAGAGCCTAATTTAATGCATTGTTGAGGAAGGACACAATAGTGTCCCGATGGGCGGCGTTAAATGCGATGACAAAGTTCACGGAACGCCACAATACTCTGCCGGTTGCCAAATCGGTATTCCAACTTCTGCCGAAGCGAAAAGATGCCGATTCACTCACTTCTTGGCCGCTGTTCAAAGTCACACTCACTCATGTGCGCACGTCGCATCACAAACGACAACGATTGAGGAGGATGCCTGAGAATAACATGATGTTGTAGTAGTCCCTACAAGTGAGCTGTCACCTTTTTGGAATAAGAGTAAGGATAGCCTCAAGGCAGCGGGTGAACACACATCCTGTTTTCAAGTGTGGGTTTTATATCTATAGGAAAAATAGCGTTACCGACCACGACGTTGTTGGAATGGGCATTTCTTGCTTATTAGCCTTCGTCAGCCGGTCATACCCAACGCCGAGGTTTGGAACACCTGCGGCTCGATCCCACGACCTGTTGGTTAGGAGTCCATCGCCCCTAACCACTGAGCCTCGGGCGTTCCACACACCGAGGTTGGGTATGGCTGGCTGACGACGGCTAACAAGCCAGAAATGACCACCCTAGCCTCGCTTATCTTTGTCTGTAATGTTATTCTACCTATTTCACGCGCCGCTTTGTGTCTGTTGGCGGGGCTCGAGAGGGAGCCCCAAGGCACAACGGGTCGAGTGACTTCCATAGCGCGATCGCTGAGCGTCCTATCATCTGATGACTATCGTGTTAAACAACTGTTGTCCATCCTCTTCCACAATTAATCTGTTCAGTAGACCATTGTATGCCGTCATACTTACATCCCAGTACCGAAGCGCTGTCAAACTCCACGGCGTAGAGGGGGCTGAACCCGCCGAAATTGTCCTTCCACCGGATATGTTGTCTGTCACTGGCACTAACACTGCTCCCTTGTTGTGAAATCCTTGAAGCCAATTGGTCCTTCCACAAAATCCTTTGTAGCCCTCCAACATCGATGTTAGCTGCGTGTAATTGCGGCATCGAATGGCTCTGTTTCAGAATTCGTTACGATCATGCGTCACCTCGCGAGTCAGGCATCTGATATTCATGCCGTCCTGAAAACAAGCAACTCTGACGTTATTATGCAGTCGAGATTTTTCATGATATAGGGTGGCGCCTTTCCAGGAATACTTCACATCTGATATGCTATCTCACGAAATTTTGGCTGAAATTCTGAACTGTGTTTTCAGTTCGAAAAATTACTTTAGTAGGGTTGTAATGTCAATTGTCATGTTGCACAATATCAAGATATTCCATTCACGTCAGGATGTCGACTTCCAAATGTGCTCGCACAAACTACATTCTGTAAAAATGGCTACTTTACTAGCATGGATCTTACCATCAATTGTTGACACCCTTACAAATTCAAATATATCCCATAGAAAATATGCACAAAATATTCTTTCGTTTGCTTATTTCATCGCTAATTACGTATTCTCCAAATTTTTCATTTGGATAAAGAATATATCTCGATTTTTAAAAAAAAAGTTCTCAATTCCCGAATAATTTTGAACCTCATCTGCTGTTACACATGCATTCAGGGTTTTAGAACTACAAACTGTATACTTTTCGCGTAAGGAGACTCGTACATTTCCATGTGCTATTATAATAAAATTTTGTAATGGGTGTGGGCCACACTGTCCACTTTAGTAAATGTGCTGATGTGATGCTGTACAACAGCACATTAAAAACTCTTTCAAAACCGGACACTACTCCTTTTTCAAGTATAACATTTGAAGAAGACGTAATTTGCCACCATATGAGTACAAGAATGAGTATTTTTGCACATGTTTTCTATAAAATCTCTTTGAATTCACATGGGCGTTAAAAATCAATGGTAACAATTAATGCTACTTCAGTAGTCATACCTTGCAGAATGTAGTTTGCACAAGCGTTCGACAAGGAGCTCATTCGGAAGCCGGCATCATGGCGTGACTGGAATATCTCGATGTTATGTCACACGATAATTGATATTACAACCGTACTAAGGCAATCTTTTCGAATTGAAAACACAGTCCGGAATTTCGGTCGGCATTTCATGAGATAGCACATCTACTGTATGATTATCGAGGCTATATTTATTTGCAGGTCGCGCCTCCACAACAACGCATAGTTTGAGACTTATTTAAACCCTCTTTTCACCGTTGTCGTTGCGGACATCGGATCTATCGCTGAACCGGTCCGGTCCAGTCCCTGTCAATACATTCCACTTCAAAGGGCAATTTGGCGAGCATACGTCTGCTTTCGATAAATTCTCTTCAGGCCTGTACGTTTATATGGCTATTGAAGTAATGAATGCAAAAGATACGGGCAAGTAGATAATTAAGCTGTAGCCGCCTCTGCCGTAGCCGAAAAGCGCTGCACAAGCAGTTTTGGATAGCTTGATAGGACCTTGTAGATCACTTTGAAGGCCTCTCTGGCGTCTGCACGGTGGTCTGTGTCTATCATGTGCTCGAGGATCGAGCTGTTGATCGAGGAGCTTAAGATAATCGAAAGCCTGTTTCGGCAAAACGGGTATCCTGATCGATTCATTGCTAAGAACATGGCCGAAAGACCACAAAAGCCCCCTATACTGACGGCAGGAAAGAAAAGGCCCTTTATCAGGGTCCCATTCCAAGGGGATGCACAAAGTGGACTTTTAAGAAGACGCCTAACCCAAGCTGTATCACAGACCTTTCCAACAGCTGACACCCGTGTACTGTTCTCCACCAGTCCCATCCTATACGGAGATGGCAAGGACAAACTAACAGCTCAGGCCACCTCTATGTGTATTTACTCTTTCACCTGCTCCTGTGGGGCAGAATATATTGGTGGCACGAGCCGGCGTTTATCCAAAAGAGTGAAAGAACATCTCCCAGCATGGTTAGGAAAGGGACAAATAAAGAACATCAACAGCTCGATCCTCGCGCACGGGGTAGACACAGACCACCGTGCAGACGCCAGAGTGACCTTCGGAGTGATTTGCAAGGTCCCATCAAGCTGTTTTAAAACTGCTTGGGCAGCGCTTGTTAGCTACGGCAGAGGCGGCTGCAATCAGGCTACGCCGACTGGTCCTATGCACACGGAAAAACTTCATACAAGTCCCACAGTTACCATGGGTCAAAGCCACCAAGCTAGCCACCCGCATTTAATTACCTTCGCCGGGACCCACCTTCTCCTGGGCGCTGACTGGAATTTTGGTGTTTCACTCACCCCCTCCCCTCCCCCAACCTGAGCTACAGCTTAACTATCTACTTGCCCGTATCTTTTAATTCATTACTTCAATAGCCATATAAATGTACACGCCTGAAGAAAATTTATCGAAAGCAGACGTATGCTCGCCAAATTGCTTTTTGAATTTTACAATGGGAATTTTCGCAACTCCAAAACATTCCACTTCTTTGTTGGAAACTTTGTAGAGCTCGAGATATCTGAGGAGCTGAGTGGTCTTGTTTCTTCGTACAGTTAATTGGCTGTTAGTTACCTCCCAACATACGCATTTGAGTACTCCAAATCAGCTAAGATATATTCCCCAGGCTGTCTCCAAACGCATGGTCAGCCGAAGAAAAAGATAGGCTCACCAGAACGGGTTTATTTAAATGCTGACTTTTCGAAGAGCTTAGTCGGTCTCCTGCTGTTCGAACTTTCTCTCCTCTCTCTGCTGACGGGTATTTTGTCTGCATGCTTTGAGTCACCACTTCGTCGGGGGGAGGTGATTGAACCTTTGTCGGGTGGTCGGTCTGGTGGTTCTTGTTCTTCCTTACCGAATAAACTCGCCGTCGGGCTGTCTCCGTATGGCCTTCTTAAGTCCGGTGTGGTTGTTTGGTCCTGAGCTCTACGATTCTGATGACGGAGGACTTTGTAAGCTGCAGGAAGGTCCAGATGTCTCGGAGATGGGCATCGGAGAACCACGCCTCGAGAGTTAGCCGTTCTACTTTTGTGTTGTCCCGGCCGAAGATGGTAGCTCACTAGAGATCGAAAGTATGTCCAGTTTCTCCAACGCATGTTGCTAATTGAGACTGCGTCTAACCTCCGAGTAGCCGATTTGTCCTTTTGTAGGCGAGTCTGCAATTTCTGCCCGGTTTCTCCCACATAGTTGCTGTCGCCCTCATTGCGATTTATTTTGTAGATAACTGCTGAGGTTTCGGCGGCTGGCAATGGGTTCTTAGGTTGCATCAGACGGCGTCGTGTTGTTGCCTGGGGTCGGTAGGCTAAGCCTACTCTGGCCTCGGCCTTTCGGGGGGGGGGGGTGGTTGGCGGACGTTTTGGCGGTGTGCTTTGTGAGCCCATCTTTTTCTTTAACCCAGACCTCTCAGCTTTGCCAATCTGAGCATGTTCATCTGTCTGGTTCTTCCTACAGTCAGCGGGGACTCGCGTCCGTGCACTGACGCGGGACGAATTGCCCCCCGACTTCTTCACAGTTTCTCGGGAAGAACTTCGTCGGCTGATGGAGCAACAGCAGAAGGCTCAGGAGGAGAGTGGAATGCTCTTGACCAAGGCCATGCGAGAACGGCTGAAGACTCGGGAGCGTCGTCTCTACCGTTTTGTCCTCATACGCATACGGCTGCCGGGTGAATTGGTTCTGCAGGTACGTCGTCTCATATCCACACTGGTCTATTGCCATCTGTCCGTCAGTCGAGTCCTGTCGACGATGACTCTGAGTCGACAAAGTGTTTGCGCACACTCGGTGGTGTAATAATTCCTCGTGTTCCCGACGTCAGACTAGTCGTGTACACCTTCAATCTGTACCTTTTATTCTTATCTACTTCAACTGAGGTATTTTGTGGTTGTCATGCAAGTACTTATGTCATCTCATTTTGTAGTTAGCTTTGCTCCTAAACATAGAAGGCCTGTTCTGATAATGCTTTGTGAACTCTAAGCACCGACGACTTGACTGGGTTTTTGAAACTAGTAACCTAGTTGTTTACCCTTTAAACATCCAAACCACTTGAGGCGTGGACTCCCTGTCGGCCACAAAAGCTGTATTCACCCGACTTTTGACTTTTCCACTCGAAAGCAGGCAGTGGCTTATTGAGATCAAGTTGTTACGCGACGGCATGCCTGTTTATTGTCAGGCCGCGCCGGACTCGCTGATCATGGGCCGTTCACCACAGACGTTCATATTTAGTTTGTGTGCTTATGTGGAAGTAGTCGACAAGACAATCGTTACACAGGTCTCTGCTGTAAGTGATCGCATCGTCCGAGGAAGATCTTAATGCTGCATAAGTTAGACGAGGTCGTTGGTTGAATGCTTGACCCCTGCTCCGAGGATCATATGCAGTCGGTGACCGATCTCACGAAATGTCAATCGAAATTCTGAAATGCGTTTCGATTAGGAAGGATTAGTTGAGTGGGATTTTAATATTGATTCTCATACAGCCTGAACCCAAGACATTTGAGACACTCCGAGATGTAGCCTTTTGAATGCGCCTCTTTTGGCCGCCTGCAGAAACTGCGTTCGGTAAAAAATTACTTAAGTGATATTATTTTTTCTGTTTCATCTGCAAATTCAAGCATATTTAGTAGGAAACATACACAAAGCATTCTTCCTTGTGCTCGGTTGGTAGAAAATCACTTCTTCAAATTTGATACTCAGAGGAAGGATGTATTTGGCCTCAGTTCAGTTCTCAAGCAATTGTGAGCCTTATCTACCGTTTCAGTCCACAAACTGCCTTACTTCCTTGTAAGAAAAGCCCTGCATTCGACTATGCCATTAAGAAGACAAACTATAGGGCTCATAACACTTTGCACTTTATGTCGGTTGCTGGTAACTACGGCAAATTCAAAAGTGCGCTTCAGTGCTGGAAACTGGTTCGCACATCCACGTCCAGCATAAAATCCGGCTTGTTTGGGCCTCCTCCTAGAGTCACGCAGAGTCTGGAATCGACTGAGAAAGACCGCAGCGAGGATCTTCGCAGTTACGCCCATGAGGCTTATGCCGCGGATTCACAGGCGACCCACCCGACCCACGGGGGAAATGAATGTGCAGCGACGATGTGGGCAGGATAGCTTAGGAGATGCTAGGTCCGTCGCCGTTGTGGGGCCGCTGGTTGATGGGGAGTCGATTGAGCTGGAGATGGAAGATTTGACGGATGCGCAAGGTGTGTCGATATTGCGACGAATTCAGTTTTTGTGGGTACACATGTGACCAACCAGGCCCACATGGTGAATGAATGTGCGTGGAGTGTGTGCTCAGCGAAGGCGCATGCGATGAGTGCATGGCGGGGCTGCGGGCACTGGTGCGCCGGTCGCAGTGGGATGGATCCGTAAGTACCGAACAGGTCGTACGTGAAGTGAATGTGGGGCGTGGGGTGGTTGTGGTGGTTGATGAGGTGTTGGGAGTGGTTGGAAACGGAGCTGTGGTGGTCATCGCCGCCGCCACGGAGTTTGTGACAGGAGTGGTGGTGATGGACGGCCACGCGGCACCGAGATCGTGATCCGCAGTGGGGGGCGGGGGCTGGTTGTCGTCTTGGACTCCGTGGGGTTGGAGCAGGGGCGATTGGGGAGGCAGCACTTTGGGTTGTCGGATCATTAGTGCGTGGGGTCCGGGGACGTTTACAGCAGTGGCATGTTTGGAGGGGTTTGGCTTCGGCGTTGCGAGTCAGAGACGCCTGAGACCTGCGGGTTTCGCTTTTGACTCAGGCAATAGCGGTCCGGCTGGCCTCGTAGATTGATGCCCCCGTCCTCGCTGCCTTTTTCTAGGCCGGCCAGATCCGTGCGGGTTCTTTCTTGGTCTTCAGGTTCATTTGTAATCTCTTCAAATGCTTCTTTAGGGCTGTCTTTCTAGCAGCCAACACCCGTAGCGGCATATTCTTAGAAGAGCCGTTTCGGTAGTCGCTCATCGCCCGTCCTCACGAGGTGGCCGCTCCATCTCAGTTGCAGTCGTCTCAGCATGGCGTGGATGCTGAGGATTCCGGTCCGTTCCAAAACTCCTATCCTGACATCGCTAATAATTGATTTACCGGATACAGCGGAGGTAGTAGTGATTGAGTTCCCGCTGCTGTTTTTTGTAGATCATACAGGTCTCCGAACAATACGACAGCGTAATCAAGATGACAGCTTTGTATGCCCTGAGTTTGGTGCTGGGATGGAGATTTGTAAACTTCAGCCGGGATTACGTCAGTCCTCGGTGCTTTCTCGATGAAGAGTTGGTGCACGGTTCGGATATTTTCTAGGAGGGGAGGGAAGTCCAAGTCGTTTTTCGTTTCCACTTGTAGAAGCTGGTCGATGGCTCCCCGAACAGCAGACGCAGACTCATGGCACGGTCGTTGACGCCCTGCGACAGACAGAGCAGATGTCCATGATGTCGTTTTCGATGGCTCATCCGCTCCAGAATAAGGCGTGGCCGGCACCCACCTCCAGTTTGCTATTTCCGAATACGAGAACCTCGCTAAGATCAGGGATGTCCACCTTGTAGCGCAGCAGTTCCCGATCGACTTGCGCCGTTCACCGTTTCAGTCGGTTGCTCCTCGGATCGTCTAAAAGTAAACAAACATTCCAGAGTGAGCGGAATCACCCTAACGGCCTGGAGGATTGGGTGGAGGGATGAGAATGTAAGTTGTTGGTTATATGATTGTTTCGACCATGATTTGTACATCTGCGAGCCACGCTCTGCCTGCAGATTGCCTGATTTCCCAGCATTCGTCTAAGGCACTTTTTCTAGGCCCTTCCCTTGCGAGCGCGTGAGCATTATTGACGCCCAATTGGACTGCTTTGACATCCCAGGAAGCTGGTGAACTCCACTAGGGGTCACGGCTCGATTTAGGGGGAGAGCAACCACAGTTAGCCTGGATCGTCTACGGGATTGCATGTCGCTCTCTCTGTAGGCCTTTTAAAGTGGAAGGGTGGCAAAGGCGATGGGAGGTAGGAAAAGGAATAAGGGAATGGAATGGGGACAGAGTTACCGGGTGTCGGGGCACGCAACACCGAATATCCTCAGCTGGTTTTGTTTGCTGGTCGAGGCGGTTACTGGGGTGTGATCGCTAGGCAGAACCTAGCTTTGGGGAGTCGTAGATGAGATTTGGATTCCAGTTCAGGACAGTTGGGAGTAGTCATCATTCATATGGTGTCCACAATTGGACACCCCTATACCCCACCATGGGATCATTCTGAATTAACGTGAATCCAGCCCAGCCACAGATGATGCATGGCTTCCTCCCCCTCTTCGGCATTATCAGATTACTGAACTGTTAAGTCGGAGTACTTTCATAGTCTCGGAAGATGAACTCCCGTGTGAGTTCCAACGCTCAGACCAAATACAGCTGACTTCTTGGTGGTAGCGTGTTCTTTTCAAAAAGAACCTGCGACTTGCATATTCACTCCCATTCGTGAATCCAATGACTCCTCTGACATTGCTTTAAAAAGTTGTTTCCTATCCTGAAAATTTGTTCCCTGAACTTGTATTATGGTAAGCATCCCGATGATGTAAAGCATTAAAATCATTGGGTTTTATCTCGAAAAGGTCTAGGGCTTGTGAGACTTGTTTGACGCTACCTCTCCTTCATAGTAAAAAAATTTTTACCCTTCGTACTTTGCACAGCTGTAAGAGTTTGAAAGATAAAAAATAGGTTTGCTTTTTTAATGATCAAGCGACTTGCGAGCTACCTTATAGTGCGGGAGCATGTGCTCTAACAAAAACGCACGCAGTAAACGCACTGGACCAACAGTGGGGGGGGGAGATTATGGTACCTCAGGCGCTATCAGGGGTGCGGGCCTATAGCAGATGCCACACGGGACTATGGTGACACGCCTAAGCGCAGGCCTACGCCGCGCCAGCCACTTGCCTCCGAGCCCACCTCCGGCATTCTCGACTCTGTCTTGACACCGGACTCAGGTGGATAAGGGGGGGGGGGGAGAGCGGGAGGGCGGTGAAAGCCGCACAAGTCTACTATCGCTGCACGCTATTCCATGCACAAGTCACTGTTTTTGCGCCAGCTATGCTGTTGGACACATGATGGACATCGTCTGTAAGCGTGTGCTATGCTATTTTTAGCAAACTATGGCCATCGCAGCCTGATATGCGCTGGCAGCTCCCCGACACCTGGTCACCTGCCGGCAGATGTGCTTGCGCTCCCGCTGGGTATACAGATGGTGGTCATGGCTGCCCAGTCATCCCTCTCGTCCTGCCGACCCCTGTTGGGGTGTTGTTGTTGGTGAAAATCGTGGTCAAGTGTATGTTGTCGACCAGGAGCCGTGGTAGCACACCTAGGTGCGGGTCCGGACATGCCAACCACCTGCGCCCTCCTCAGTCTCCGGTCTTCTTGAATCTGTCTTGACACTGGATCGAGGTGGGGAGTGGGGAAGAGAGAGTGTGGTAGATGCTGTGCAGGTCTAATATCACTATAAATAAATTCACGCACGAGTAACCGTGCGTGCTTCATCATGCTGTGGGGCACCCGGCGGACATCGTCGGAAACGACGGTCGAACTGTCAGTGTGGAAACATACGCACTGCTGTCGGTTGTGGTCTCGAATTGCTCCTGCACTCAACTATCTCAGCGTTCCCTTTGACTGGCGTCTCGAGTGGTAGTTGGAGCTGTTCAGACCTGGTAATCTGCTGTCATTTGCATCGAGCAGGCACAATTATAGGAAATCTGACTTATAGTAGGTGGACTAACTCATGAAATGTCAACCGAAATTCCGAAATGCGTTTTCGCTTTGAAAAGATTAATTAGGTAGGTTTGTAAAACTAATCATTGTGCAGTATAAATCTATAATAATTCAGTTATCCTAGGACGCTGGCTTTCGAACAAACTTATTTTCGGGTGCATGCAGGAACTACAGTGTGTAAGAAATGACTACTTATGAGGCATGCATTTTTCTACTTGATTTTTGATGCCCCCCAAAATTTAATTATACTTCATAGAAAAAATGCATACAATTATTTATTTTTCCACTCATTCGGTAGAAAATTACGTGTTTCAATTTTACACTGGAAGAAAAGGTTTAATTTGGCTGAAAGAAAATTTTCCCATTTCCGGAAATATGTCGAACTCGACCTGCCGTTGCACCTGCATTCAGGGTTTCCAAACTACAAGCCGTATTTTTTTTCCGCGTACGGAAAACCGTAAATTTCTTTACTGTATTCAGAGGAGATCATATGGGGTTCATAGAATTTCGCAGTGGATTTGGGCCATATTGCTAACTTTGAAAGTAACACTAGTAAATGCAGAGACATGACGTTTTATGAATGAACACGTAATTTCCTACCGAATGAGTAGAGGAATTATGCATGTTTTCCATGAAATATAATTGACTTTTTAGGGGCATCGAAAGTCATTGAGAAAAATGCATGCTACTTAAGTAGTCATTTTTTACACTGTTGTTCCTGCATGCAACCGAAAAGAAGTTCGTTCGAGAGCCGGCATTCTTAGGTAGCTGATTTGTGATAGAACTATGCTGCATACTGATTGGTTTTAAAACCCTACTTAATTAATCTTTCCGAAACGAAAACGCATTTCGAAATTTCGGCTGACATTTCATGCGTTAGCCCACTTACTATAAGCCTTATATTCCTGCCTTACCAGGGGCAGCCCCTCTTATGTAATTACACTTTTACCCCGAAGACGGGTTCACTCGTCGGTCTTCGACCGACTTGTTAAAACTCCCTTTTACTTTTCCTGACCCCCTCACATCTCTCCCTCTACCTCCTCCGTAGGGCACATTCCAAGCGTCGGAGACATTGGACGATGTTCGCACCTGGGTTCTGGACTGCCTAGACAATCAGGCCGTTGTCTTCAAGCTCTGGTCTCCACCCGGCATGCCAGGACTGGGCCGCTCTCCGACGGCTCGAGTCGCCCTGGAGGATGGTTTGGCTTCACTGGTTGACTTGGGCCTGGCGCCCTGCAGCCTGCTGACTTTGTCTTTTGAGGAGGACATCGCCGGTGGTCAGACCGCGGCGTCGGCGGCTGCCAACCTTCGTCCCGAACTCCTTCAGAGGGTGCAGCCCCTGTCCTAGCTGGGTGCATCCCACGCACTGACAATCGTCCCCCTCTCTCTCTCTCCCAGTCTTGCTGTGCATCTTCACACTTTTTTGCCTGCTTGCATGCGTACAAGGCCTCTCAGGAAGCGTATTATGTTCTTATTTTCCTCCGTCAGACTCCCTCCCCCCACCCACCGTCGACCTACATCTTATTTCTTGCCATTTGTCTCCGTATGTGTGCGTGCGTGTATGTGGATATTGGCGAATTACAGTATCACTCAGAGATGCATCCGTCGTCTTTTTGATGGCTGAACAGTCCCGATTGCGCAACAGAGGCGATGAACTGATTGGAGCATTTTCTCAGTCCCTGATTGGCGCATTCTATTGACGGGTGGGCAGTACAGTTTAATCGAGTCCTCCGAAGCACTTGGCAGCACTTAGTGGATCTGCTGGCGACACAGTGATTTGTTTTGCCTAGCAAAAGCGCCGTCTGGCCCCTATTTCTCTCAAAGTTTAGGCTGCGACTAAGCACACCGGGATAGAACACCGGGTTATGCATTGCTTCTTAATGTAATTGAGACCAATTGTGTGCTTTCGTAGTCTGT